TGCAAATGCTTGGGAGTAATTTTGGTGATCATGACAACATGCCTGGGAGAGAAATTCCAACGCAAGGCACTAGTTTTACATGGCAGGAAGGCTTTAGTGGGCGAGAAAGCCACAAAAGGTTGCAATGGATGTAAAATGAGCCTGCAGGGACAGTTCAGAGGGGCCCAGCAAGACCCCGCTGGATTCACACATGTGGTTTGCAGAGCCGTGACCCCTGTGGGCACCCAGGTCCATACACTGATATGCTTGGGAACTGATCAATGTTTTTGGTGTCAGAATGAGGAGAGGGAAGTCATGTGCGCAAAGGAAAGAAACGAGGCTGAGCCTGAGACAACCTGGCAGCTGTCCTCCCCCTTCCTCCCTGCCCCACCCCATCCCACCCAGACCAGATTTGAGTCCTAGAAAGAAGTCACATAAGAACATGAGGTAGCAATGTTAAAGACTGGGCAGCTGTGGTGGCGGGAGAGGGGGTCTCCTTCTACAGAAGGCAATGAAGGCACCTTTCTAATCACTTTACATACGTGCTATCACTTAATTTTCATGACATAATAATAGTAGGTACTTTTATTATCCATATTTTACAGATATGGAAACCAAGGCACAGAGAAGGTAAGTAGTTCTCCCAAAGACACAGAGTAAGAGGTGGAACCAAGATTCTAGGAGAGATGGTCAACTCAAACACTAAGCAATGCTGCCTCGGCCACACAGGCGACCATGCTCCCGGTGCCTGGGTAACACAGGAGCCCCTCGTCCCTTTCAAAACCACTCTTCCCAGAAACTTCAGAAGATTCTCGGCATCATTAGGACCCTGAAGGCAAGCAGCTTTCAGGATGTGGAGTGGAGGAGGATCTCACAGAGGCCTTGGGGCAAGGACGGCAGTGGCCCCTTGGCCAGGAGCATGAAGCAAACAGGGCAGTCAGGCTTGCTCCTGGTGAGAAGGTGCCGCCCACTCAGACACACCACACACCCAGGGCCATATCCAAACTGATGGCCCATCAGAAATTAGGAAGCCATCCACTGGAAAGATCTTTTCCCCAGCAACAGGTACATGAATATGTGCTGTGTGTTGAACAGAAGGACCAAGCTCCTACCAGAGGATCCAAGGAATGGGATTGGTTTAGTCCTGGCCTCACCATCTCCCTTAAAAATGCCAGTCGATGGGACTCACTCATGCTCCAAGCTCTCGAAGGAGATAGTCAGAAAAAAGAGAAAGAGAAACCCCATAATGTTCTGCCTTCATTCTTCCTCCATGCCCAGACATTACCCTGACCAGTTCTCTTCTCACCTTGTGTCAATATCTTAATACCTCAAATTATGGGCATTTAAGGGAAGGAATTAACTAAGCTAACCCAGTCAAATGACCACCAACCTCACTGAGCCCCAGTGACTTAGGAACACTCTCTGGGCTACCAAGATAGAGTAAAAAAACTGGGCACTTGGTGGAATGGGAGATGTAAAATGTGAAATGGTAGATTGCGTGCACCATTAAAAACAAGGAAGCTGGACGCGGTGACAAGTGCCTGTAGTGCCAGCTCCTTGGGAGGCCGAGGAAGGAGAATCACATGAGCCTAGAAGTTTGAGGCCAGCCTAAGCAACATAGTGAGATGGTTTCCCTTTTAAAAACAAAAGGAGAGGAAGCCAGCCAGACCACTATTACTTCTACTGGAGTCTGGGTTTCTCACCAGGCGTGTCCAATGTCCTTCATTTTGGCCATCAGCAGATTATGGAGTCGTTTTGGCAGAGGGAGCTGGTCAGAGGTGCCACCCAGGGAGAACTTAGCTCTGTCCCTCCCTTGAGACCCAGGTGAGGATGTCTTCTGAATCTTCCCACGATCAGGAGAGAGGAGTTCCCCCAATGCAGCCTGCTTTGTGTCCGCAAAGAAAACCAGCGCATTATTATTCCTCTGTCATCCTACAAGTTGCTGAGCCTTGAAAGCTCCAACAGAGGCAGCTGCTGGAACGTGGCTGCGGGGGCAGTGCCACATCTAATTGCTTCACACGTGGCTGCCAGTTTACGGGTCCTTCGCTCTGCATTTAACACTGTAGCTGCTGATGGACTTTCGCTGTTGGAAAATATGCCCCGGTCCTCTGCACACTGTTTTATAACTGATGGGGGAAGATGCTCTCTCATTTGGTAAATTGTATCTGGCCTTTCCAGCTCAGTGGTCATTAATGTTTGTTCTCATCCAATGGGCAGATTCAAAGAAATACAGCTCTCATTAGCTCCTGCTCAATTAAGAAAAATGCTCCTCTGCCCCCATGACTCAAACACAGCTTCCTAGCTGGAGCTGTTTGAGTTCCACAGCTGGAGAGACTGGGGAGGTCATCCAAGCCATCTCTGATGCTTCAGCCCCCAGCCCCAGCAACATCCAGACTACAAATCCCCTCCAGCACCTCCTGCCTCATTCATTCCACACCTGCCTCCTAATGAGCGAGGGCTACAATAAGTGACCCTGCTGAGTGCTTGCTGTGTACCAGGTGCTGTCCTAAACAATACGCATAGCTTAGCTCACGCAGGCATGCTTACAAATCTATGACCTCCAGGGTCACAAGAATGCTCTGGAGCGGAGTTCAAGTTCTACTCCTGACACCTATGTATGAGCTGAGTGAACATGGGCAAGTCACAAAGAGGAGACCCACATTTTTATATTTAAACCCGGTCCAGGGAGTAATAAGGTGAATCTCTGCGGTCAATGCCTCTATGGACAAGCTGCCTTCACTTTGTTCTCTTTCCTCAGACTATTCACAGGCAGCTGACTTCCAAATCCTTGTGATCAGCCACCAGGGCCATGAGGGAAAAGGAGAGAATGAATCAGCCAAAATCCCATCACTATCCTTGGAAAAAATGCCATGTGATGTTGTATTCTAAAATTTGAAAGTTGGAGCTGAAAATAATCAGTGGTAGGTGTGTAAATTGGCATGGCCTCTATGGAGAACAATTTGCTAATATGCCAGAATTTCAGATGAACATCCCCTTTGACCTGGCAATCCTACTTCTAGGAATATATCCTGAAAAATGGGGTTGGTGGGGGAAAGTGTGTGTTCAAGGATATTTATGTCCGTATTGTCTTACTAGCATAAGCCTGCAACAATCTAGATGAGGATTGACTAAATAAATTACGGTATATTTGCACAATGCAATATTACAAGGCCATAAAAAATAAGGCAGCTTTAACAAGATTCAAGTGGAACAATCTTCAAAATATTTTAAGTGAAAAAAAACAAGATTTTATTGTACATTTTTTAAGTATTTATACTCAGTTGTTTATATATCATAGAATATCTCTAAAACAAAATCAACAATCTGGTCATAGTTGCTGCCTCTGGGGAAACACTTTAGGTGGCCTGAAGTCAGGAGTGAGAGAGATAATTACTTTCACTGTATACCCTTTTGAATCTTGAATTTATGTCATAGGAATGAACCACATATTCAAGAAGTAAACCATATGTAATTAGAATATTAAAAATATTGATGTTTAAATAGATAAAATGCTTATTATTTATTAATTTCTTTATTTAGTTTATATTTTTAAAGGGGGAAAGGGACCAGGCATAACAGCTCACACACGTAATCCCAGTGCATTGGGAGGCTGAGGCAGGAGGATTGCTTGAGCCAGGAGTTCAAGTCCAGCCTGAGCAACATAGAGAGACTCTCTCTCTTAAAAAAAAAAAAAAAAAAAAAAAGCCAGGCATGATGATGCAGACCTGTAGTTCCAGCTACTGGGGAGGCTGAGGAGGGAGGATCACTTGATCCCAGGGGGTTGGGTCTGCAGTGAGCAGTGATCTCACTACTGCACTGCACCCTGGGTGACAGAGCAAAATCTCTCTCTTAAAAAAAAGTAATGATAATTAAAGGGCCGGGCACCGTGGCTCACACCCGTAATCCCAGCACTTTGGGAGGCCAAGGTGGGTGGATCACCTGAGGTCAGCAGTTTGAGACCAGCCTCACCAACATGGTGAAACCTCATCTCTACTAAAAACACAAAAAAATCAGCTGGGCATGGTGGTGCACACCTGTAATCCCAGCTACGCAGGAGGTTGAGGCAGGAAAATCGCTTGAACTCAGGAGGCAAAGGTTGCAGTGAGCTGGGATTATGCCACTGCACTCCATCTCAAAAAAAAAAAAAAAAAGTTGAAAATCATAAATCTCCAGAGAACAATGAAAAAAATAATAAGGCAAATATGCAGAGAAATAAGCTGGCATTTTTAAGGGAGACAGTGAGGCCAGGACTAAATCAATCCCATTCCTTGGATCCTCTGGTGGGAGCTCGGTCCTTCTGTTCAACACACAACACATACTCATGTACCTGTTGCTGGGAAAAAGGTCTTTCCAGTGGATGGCTTCCAATTTCTGACGAGCCATCAATTTGGATACTTTGGGAGCAGCTAAAGACCTGTTCTCAGGCTTCTTTGAGTATTTTTATGTCTCCTAACCAGCTTTCCCCCATGAAGCCTCTCCCCATCTGTGATAATTTTTTATGTACCAGTTTGTCTGGGCTATGGTGTCCAGATGCATGGTCAAATATCAATCTAGTTGTTGCTGTGAAGGCAGTGTGTAGATGAGATAAACATTTGCGTCAGTAGACTTTAAGGAAAGCTAATGTACCCTCCCTAATGGGGGTGGCCTCATCCAGTCAGTTGAAGGACTTAGGAGAAAAAGCCTGAGATCCTCCGAGAAAGAGGAAATTCTGCCTCTGCACAGGCTTCAGACTAGAGACTGCAGCATCAACTCTCCCCTGGGTCTCCAGCCTGCTGACCTGCCCTGTAGTTGTTAGACTTGCCAGTCCCATACTTGTATAAGCCAATTTCTAAAAATAAATCTCGAGAGAGAAAGAGGAAGACAGAGAGCAAGAAAGAGTGAAAGAGAGAGAAAGACATACTGTTGATTCCATTTCTCTGAGAACCCTGACTAAAACACCACTCAGAGGAATGGATCCCCACCATCACTCATCCCACTTCCCACATCATACTTGGTGAAGCCTCTGTTATTCTCTTACCTACCAAAGTGCATATGTCCAATCCTGCGGCCTAGGCTGGAAGGTCCCTGTGAGCCGGTGCTATGTCTCCATCATCAGTGCATTTCTAACATTCAATGGAGTACCTGCAAGTGCTTGATAAGGATGTGTTGTTGAATGAGGCTACACGTTTAGTGACAGTGCTCCGGATGCTGAATGCTTAGGTTTGACTCATCTGTAGGTTCATATCCAAATCAGCACATCAATTAGGAAGAACATGAAGGAAAAGGAAAAGAAAACAACCCTTACCAGTTGTTTGCAATTACCAGGACCCTTTGTTTTCCTTGTTGCTTCTTACACAGCTACCTGAAGACCTGCCAAAGGCAATTTACTGTTCAGGATTAATTGAACAGGCCGCCGCAGTTAAGATGCCACAATGTTGGACTTAGCCTACACTGTATCCAAAATTAAAAGCAAGAATTCTTTTTTGAAATAAGATACATACAAATAGAAAAAAAAAATTTTAAACTTATCTGTGATCATCACCCTTCCTTGTACTCCAAATGCGTGCTGAATTTTAATGTCCATTTTAAAGAGGAAATTATGACCCTCAACCCCAAGATCAAAATATCATTTCTGAAAATCAGATTGAATCTTAGATTAGAAACTGCTGCAGACATCTTCCACAAAAGTTTTTTTTAATCATTTGTCATAGTTTTAAAAGATTACAAGATGAATTCATCTTTGATTAGTCAATCTGAATCCTCAAGTGAATAAAGAACCAATTGGCTTAGTTTTCTGATCAATAAGAGGATTTTCAGTGAGCACCCAACACCAACAATCTTGTCCCATAGGAAAAATGATTTATAAGCATGTCAAATGGAGATTTTATTTTATCCTGCCTTCAGCTGTCAACGAAAGACTTCGCAGCTCTCCCCAGGGAGCAAGGAGGTGAAACAGTAGGAGGCCTTCAGAGGTCAACCTTGAAAGCAGGAAACACTCAGCTTTGACCTGGCCTATTGAAATCAATATGGCATGGCATAGAGAAAGGAACCAGATGGCAGAGTACACTTACATCAATATTTTTCTTTATTACAGAATTTGCATTAAATTTTGTTAAAGGAAAGGTGGATTCAATTGGCCATGAGAGATACAAAAGGCATATGCCATGAATCATATCTTAAATGAATTTTAATCATCACCATAGGATTTGCAGTAGAGGCTTATTTTTCTTTGAATAAACTTATCTTTTTATTTCTATTCTTTGTTATGTAGAAAAATACAGTATAAGGCATTAAAAAAGAGAAACATATCCTGTATTCCCACCATCAGATGATGCCATCATTAACACTGTAGCATATTTGATCACAATAGCTTCTTTATGCATTTTATATCATTGTGAACTCTGCTTTTTCCACTTACACTAGAGTAAAATAATTTTCTGTTATTACCTTTCTCTTTCTAATAGGAGTTCCTATTATCATCATTTTGGGAAGTTAAGGCTTTTCTAAACCCCAGAGCTTATAAGCAATGGAGCTGAGACTCTAACCCTAACATACCTACCTCCAAAGACCATACCCTTCCACTATGTCAAACTACCTTAAAAATAGTTATTCCTTTGGGAGGCCGAGACGGGCAGATCACGAGGTCAGGAGATCGAGACCATCCTGGCTAACACGGTGAAACCCCGTCTCTACTAAAAAATACAAAAAACTAGCCGGGTGAGGTGGTGGGCGCCTGTAGTCCCAGCTACTCGGGAGGCTGAGGCAGGAGAATGGCATGAACCCGGGAGGCAGAGCTTGCAGTGAGCCGAGATCTGGCCACTGCACTCCAGCCCAGGCGACAGAGCGAGACTCCGTCTCAAAAAAAAAAAAAAAAAAAAAAAAAATACAAAAACCTAGCTGGGCGAGGTGGCGGGTGCCTGTAGTCCCAGCTACTCAGGAGGCTGAGGCAGGAGAATGGCATAAACCCGGGAGGCAGAGCTTGCAGTGAGCTGAGATCCGGCCACTGCACTCCAGCCTGGGCGACAGAGCGAGACTCCATCTCAAAAAAAAAATAGTTATTCCTTTTGGCTCAGTAAGTCACCTTTTGGGGAATCTGTATGGAATCTGAAATGTACGAGATGAGTCTGGGACATCTTGAAATGCAAGAAAGCAAGAAGCTACTAAAGACTAAATAAGTCACGTCAAAAGGAAACCAACTTGAAAAAAGATCCCAAAATGACACAATGCGACTACCCAAAAGAATCATAATCACTCTCAGTTAAATCATTAAACATAAAAATCAATGAGTTCATAATGATACTTTTTAAAAGCTTACTTACAAGAGCACCAACTCATAACTCTGAAAATTGATAAATACATAGAAAGAATCAAGAATTTATCCTGTCTTTCCTGTACAAACTGTAACTCAGGGCAGCCAAATACTTGATAAGGATAAGTCTTCATAGAAGAATTATGGGTAACTAATGCAGAAGGAAGGACAGATTAAGAAAATTGCCATTTCAATCCATCATGAAACCCTGGATCTCGCAATGGTCATCAGTGAATGTTAAAATCACAGGTGAAATACTTATGGGCGACTTTTAGAGGATGGAGCATCCTGACATCACCAGGACTGATTCCTGGCATTACCAAAAGTGGAGCAAACAGACGTCATGAGTTCATGGTATGATTCCACAGGAAGTACATAGCATCAGAAATATTATAATCTAAAAAGCATTTTAACCTTAATCAATTTAAGACTCAAACCTAACTATCGGTTTATAGGAAATAGAAAAAACAGAGGAACAAGTTAAAAACATCACAGAGAAACAATTATGCAAATCTAGAATGTAGATCTAAAGGATAATCTGATTTTTCTAACAAATTCAATGGCATGAAAACAATTGAGGAGCAAGGAGGAGGGACGATGTAGACTGAAATAGCTAAGAGATATTATTATTAATATTATTCGAATAGGCCAACCGTAAAAGAACAACTTTAAGACAATTAAAGACATTTGAATATGAATTGGTATTAGAATATTTGGGGTATTTTTGTTATTTGTTTGGTACGATAATACCTAGGTGGTTATTTTTTTAAGTCTTGCTGCTTAAATGCATATAAAGAATTTACAAAGAAAATAATATGATATCTAGTATTTGCTTCAAATATTCCAGGAAAAAAAAGTGTGTGTGTGTGTGTGTGTGTGTGTGTGTGTGTGTATGTGGTGGGAGGGAGAGAGGAGGCGGAGATGAGTAGATGAAACAAGAGTTGCAAATTGTTGACAGCTGTTGAAGCTGTGAGATGAGTCCATGAAGGTTCATTATCCTATTCTCTCTACTTTCTGTATGTTTGGAACATTCCATAATAATAATAATAATAATAACCCTAAAAAGTGATGCATATGAGTACATCAAAACCTATAGAAAAGAAATTCCATATATGCCAGGACTAGAAAGATATGTAAGAAATAACTATAAAAAGATCTGTGAGAAAATCCTACTCCATATATTATGTGCTGATTTCTGATCTGTATTTGAAATGGAATCACTCCAATATTATCTGATTAGTTTTGAAATTGGTGATTAAAATAAAAGACTGATCATCTTGTACATTTTTTGGCACCTTACACCATCACCAATTTAAGTATTAATAGAAGGAGCATGAAAACTATCAATCTAAGAAATTCAGAATGAAGAGGTCTGTGATATGCTCGGTGAACTTCTTTGTTCTGGCAATGAAATAATTTGGAGATGGAAAGAGGACATAAATTCTGCAGAACAATTTTCTGTGCTCCTCTTTAAACAGGTTAAGGTGCTGATTTGGTTTTTTGAAAACCTGAAGCTTTGGATCACAAAACAAAGCAAAATTAATTGTGAGTGAAGGGAAGAAAAGATCACTTGTAGTGACACTTCTTTTCCAGGGATACGGTTAAGCAAGCTAATAGCATTCAGAGGGTAAAAATAAGTCCATTCACTAATGCCCACACACATTCCATATAATGACAGATGGAGATCTAATTTTAAAAACATACTACATTGTAAAAATACTTTGGAAACATCTAACTAAACAAGTGGATTAAAACTTGATTAAAAATAAATGATTGAAACGCCAAAAGCTCATTAAAGGGAAGATGCTATGTGGAGTTGACTCCCCAAAGAAACAAAGCCCTTCGTGTCCAGTAAAATATGTTCAGCTGAATGAAACTACTGAATATTTTAATTTTCAGTTTGTGAGGGAAAAATTATTTATACTTAATCACTGGTTTGTTTTTAACCCCATAATTATAACAATTAGGGAAATAGAGGTGTTTATAAGATGCTTAAAGCAGGTCACACTCTCAGGACAGGTTCCCAGGAGCCAGACTCTGAGATGGAAAGTTACATGCAGGAGCTTTATTGGGGAATGTTCTCAGAAGCATCACCTGGGAGGAGTGAGGAAAGCAGGATTGGGCACACGGAGAAGTAGAACTGTGATATGGTTGCAAGAGGCCATGGCAGATACCAAGAAAAGACCAAGCAGAAAGGCCCTTCAGAGCTTTCATAATCTAGGCAAGGGGGCGAGGCCCTTATATTCTCACATAAATACAATACCCACGGAAATGGGTATTGGAAAAAGTAGCTCCTTTTGGCCAAGAGTCAATCCCCAGAGGGACTCACGGATGAGTACTTTTGCGGGAGTGAGAAACCAACTCTTCTGACTGCTTAGAAATGAATGCTTTGATCCTGAAGGAGACATGTGGGGAGTATATCTCCCCTCGCATTGCAGCCCCTACCTTTAGCCTCCCTCCTTCATGTAGCAACTTCATCCCCTCTGAGAATAGCTCCATAGGATTCTCAATGATCTATTTTTCTTTGGAAACTGGTAAGAGGAAAGTTATTGGGACAAATCTCAGCCCCTTTCAGTGACTACATCTGGTGTCATGGTCTCCCTCCTCTGCTATCACACTTTTAAACAGCACTGCTGTAGTCTGGGTGGCTTACCTGGTGGGATGACCAGATTTTCATCCCAGGGGACCCTGAGCCCTGCGTCACCATGAAAGCATGGCTTGGTGGCATAACCAAGTTCCACCCATGGCTACTGTACTTGCTAATTTACCATGAAGATCTGGCAAGGGGGTACCAAGAGACAACCTAATGAGTCACCTGGGTGGCTGTGATCACGACTGGACAGCGGCTGGAGCTTAAAGTGTAATGGAATTCTTGCTGTGTTCCCTGGTAGAAGCATTCTTCCCTTGAAGATAAGGACCCAGGAGAGACTAAATGTGCGAGGCAAGCAAGCACAAATTCCTCAAGCAGGTCATGGGAGTAATGGTAGTGGAGCCAGACCTACTTCCAATCATTGTTTTCTTTTCTCGCTCTGCCACATGGCTGGAGTGCAGTGGCACAATCTTGACTCACTGCAACCTCCGCCTCCCAGTTCAATTGATTCTCTGCCTCAGCCTCCCGAGTAGCTGGGACTACAGGAACACTCCACCATGCCTGGCTAATTTTTGTAATTTTTGTAGAGACAGGGTTTCACCATGTTGGCCAGGTTAGTCTCAAACTCCTGGCATCAAGAGATCCACCCATCTTGGCCTCCCAAAGTGCTGAGATTATAGGCGTGAGCCACTACACCAGGCCCCAATCATTGTTTCCTGAGGCCCTCAATCCCACCTACTGGAAACATAGCACTATATAATGGACATTGGTTCAATGCCACCCTGTCCTTATAACACATCATCTGCAGGCTAGCACTTTAGCTGTGCTAAAAAACTAAAAAACTAAAAAAACTCTAGTAGACAGGCAGTTTCTGGATGGTGTTATGGGATGAGACCAGTAGATCCTATCATCATATGTCCATTGTTGTTATTCCTTTGCTATAAAATGGGGCCAGTGGTCCACAGTCGCGTAATGCAGGATTCCAAGTCAGTTTATCTTATAATCTGCAAGCCTGTAGGGGTCATGCTGCCTGGGTCCCTGTTGGTAGGAAAGGTAAAACCATCTCTGGAATATGTGTCAATACCAGTCAAAATCAATTACTGACATTTCCAGATTAAAAGGGATCCGATGTAATCAAGTTGCTAAGTGGTTGGTTAGTCTCCTCTGGGGACTGTGTTTGTTGAAGAGCTCAGTGTTGGTTTCTGTTGCTGGAAGCTTGGACATTTGGTAGTGGTAACAGATATATTAAGTAATCACTTGATTTCCTGGAGATCCGCTGTCAATTATTAGGACCCCTGGTTCTGAAGCGGGACAGAATGATAATTAAATGGGGACATGATGGGGACCACTTGTAGTGTTGAGCATGTTTAGAGTGCCAGATTTCTTGGCCGTTTCCCTGGATGTCATATGGTTTTTATTTCTTCTCTTGGCCATGGTAAGAAAGTTTCAGAGGCTTCTATGTAGCCCTCTTCACTACAGACCATACTGGTTGGCCCTACAAACTGAGGAACTAATGAGAAGATTCTGCTGACTACTATGGATTTCAATTATACATCCAGAGACTGAAGAAATGACCACCAGGTGGATCCATGGAGCCAAAGAATCCCTTGTGAAATCGACTGGGTCTGCACTTATTTCTTACTCTTCATAAGCTCCCACTTCAGCAAGGGGCCTGGATGAAACAAAACTTCCTGAAGATCAGTGGAGTTTGGACCATGCCCAAGAGTCCTGGAAATATCTAGGATTGCCCTTTTTCCCATTGAACAGTTAACCAAGTAAATGGCCACAGATCCCCTCAAGTAAAGACTGGGGGAATTGTTATCATATGCACTTACCATAGTATAGCAGGCTCCTTCCTCAAACCAACTTCTCTAGTCAACAGGTTCTGGGTCAAAGGACAGACTCAGATCTGGAAATTGGCCATGACTCTTCAGTGAAATGTTGGCATTATTCTTATGTGCCCCTGTATCTTACCCTTAATAACACTGTGGTCTAGTAACCATCTCCATAGCGCTCTATGGGTGAGGACCCCTGGCTGCCACTCCAACCTTTCCATTTATGATAATAATTGCATCCTTCTTGGTCTGCTACCTATGGTCTGCCACCTGGCCTCTACCAATCTGGGATCTTACCATCCCCATTGCTTTTAGAGATCCCAGTTCTATAGAACCCCAGCACGGTCTACAGTATCAGCCCTCCCCTAGAGGGTTTCTCATTGAGTTTCTCATTGAAACCATTGAGTTTCTCATTGACACATTGCCCCTTGGAAATACGTTCCAAGGCCACCCCACAGGTGGATGCCGGAAACTGTGAATAGTACCAAGCCCCATACACATGATGTTTTTTTCCTATACATGCACTGTGGCACTTTTGCAGTTTGAGTACAACCACAAAACTAGCGTAAATTTATTTGTCCTTCTTCACAATTTTACAGGTAAAAAATTTGTTCTTACCATGGATCTTTGCAACCTCAGCATACAATTTTTTTTTTCCTTAAGAACTTTCACCTTTTCACTTAAAGGAAGCACTTTATGGCTTCCCTTTGGCATATGTGAATCGCCAGTATCACCCCTCTTGTGCTTTGGGGCCATTATTAGGTAAAATGGGGGTGCCTTGAACACGAGCACTGCTATACCTGGACGGTCGATCTGATCACTGAGATGGTGAAGTGGCTAACTGGAGGGAAGTGTAGACAGTGTGTATCCACTGGATAAAAGTACAGTTCAAATCCTGCGGGGGACAGTGCAAGATTTCATCACACTACTCAGAACAATGTGCAATTTAAATCTTATGAATTGTTTCTGGAATCTTCTATTTAATATTTTCAGCCCACAGTTAACTGTGGGTAAACAAACTGTGGAAAGTAAAACCATGGATAGGGAGAACCAGTGTACAGCCGTCCCTCAGCTTCCATATAGGATTGGTTCTAGAACCTCCCTTGGATACCAAAATCTGTAGATACTCAAGTCTGTGATATAAAATAGCCTAGGATTTGCATATAACCTACATACACCCTCCCATACACTTTAAATCACCTCCAAATTACTTATAATACCTAATACCATGTGAATGCTACGTAAATAGTCACTATACTGTATTGACTACGGAATCACGACAAGGAGAAAAAAAATGTACGTACGTGTTCAGTATGGGATGCCACTTTTTTCCCAAATACTGAATATTTTCAGTCTGAGGTTGGTTGAACCCACAGATACAGAGAGCTGACTGCATATCCACCATAGCATTCCTGCTTCTCTGAGCCTTTTGATCTCTTTCTTCATCGTCTGCTAAGGCATTTCTCACATATCTCCTCCATATAGTTGATCACTGCATTTCTAAGAAAGAAAAGAGTCAACAAAGAGACCCCAAGAGTCAGCCAAGCACAGTGCTAAATTCTCTATCTCGGGGGAGTGCTCCCATGTAGATAAAGTTTCCAGTATCCAACTATATATTGCATCCTTCTTAACCCAGGCCCTTCAGGATTCATCCTATATTCTTCCACTCCTGCTAGTACTTGCTGACTCAGTGTTGCATCTTCTTTGGTGTCTATTTTTTCCTTCCTTATCACAATCAGCACTTCTCCTGTCAAGTTTTATTGTACTTGGCTCTAGTTCAGGGGTCAGCAAACTTTACCTGTAAAGAAACTGATTGTAAACATTTTAGGTTTTGTGGGCCATACGGACTTTGTTATGACTACTCAATTCTCCCATTGTAGCATGAAGGCAGCCATAGGCAATGTGTCATTGAATGGATATGGCTGTATTCCACCAAAACTTTATTTACCAAAATAGACTGCAGGCTGGATTTGGCCAGGAGAATGCAGTTGCTGATCCCCATTCTGTTCACTGGCCTAGTGTCCAGGAATGGAGTTAGGATCAACCCTGAGTTAAGAACATGCTGCAAGAAATGTTTCTTGCATCTTGCAAGAAAAACCTCCTGCACTGTCTTCAAGCAACAGTAGCACTAGCTTTTAATAGGGAGCAGTGGGCCCAGAGGGTTCAGGGGAATCTGAGGATTCGAGATTTTTGGTGCAGAAACACATATATCCTTATTCCAAGTCTCGGCATCTCACTCCTTCCCAGTCAGGGTCCTGACCTTGATATAGCACACTTGCTGGGGGTGAAAAATTTAACCTTCTCTGGAGCCCTCCTGGCCTTATAATTAAGTTCTAGGCTTGATCCTGGCTTTTTTCTACTTCTGGCTGCCGGAGATGAGAATCTCTTTATAAACTGCCATAGGCCCTCCGGCTTTCACACTTAGCCTTAAATTGGTGATTAATCATTGTATCCTTTTATCCCCTTTCTCTAATTCATTTTATAGCACTCAGAAACAGCCATCCAATTCTATTGTACTTATAATCACCACTTCCCCTGAACCCCTAGACACCTCAGATACTAGACAAACCAATGCATTGCCTTCCAGCAGGTACACCACAGTGAAGGTTGCAGCAATTGCAAAGTTACAGCCTGCCAGGGGCTGTAGGCAATCCACCCACCCACCCTTAGTGATGGTGTCCTCCCTGGTGGCCAGTCAGCTGGTGACCCAGCTCCACATTCCATTTTAGAGTCTCCTTCCTCGGACCATTCCTAGCACCAGTGGTTTTAAGTATGCTTACCTGAGAAACAGGGTCTGAGGTGGAGATTTACACGCAGGACTTTTACTGGGGAGTGCTTTTAGGATCAATACCTACAAGGAAGTAAGAGAAAAAGGATTCCATAGAGGAGAAATTGAATTATGACTCGGTTGCAATAAAGGCCTTCAGCAATTCCCATGGACTGCTGTCAGAATTGTCTAGACAAGGCAAGGGGCCAGCCAACCACAGGATGTGTGCTGCCCCCCAAAACCCCAACTGCAGAAGGGGTAGGGCCTTGGGCAGGGCAGCTCTTTTCTGCTAAGGGAGGGATTCCCAAAGACAGACTCATCTGTGAGACAACAAAAGCCAGCACTCCTGGCAGCTGGGTGAATGAGTGCCTGAGTCCTGGAAGGGAGGTGGGGGCTGCACACCACCACATCCACTACCAGCACGTGCAGTGAGTTCATGTCCACAGTAAGCGCGTCAGATAGGCGTCCATGAGCCCAGCTTTACTGTCACACCCTAGTTTCCAGGAATCCTGGGAAAAGCCCTGGGTTCAACTAATTGTTGCGATTGTAATTGCGGTTCCTGAAGGAATTCTAGATGACAAAGGCAATAAAGTAGCAGTGATTTATTGTATATAGAAACTTTAAAACCCACTTTTGGAGGGTAAAATAACAAGAAAGAGGAAGGAAAGAATAAAGGAAGGAAGAAGGAAAACAAAGAAGGAAGAAAGGAAGGGGAGAGGAGGGGAGGGGAAAGGAGAAAAATCAAGTCGTCTCAACTCACTAGAGCAGCCATATCTACTTAACTGGATACAGGTCTAACTCCTCCTCCATCCCTCTTCAAACAAAATGAACATTAGGACTTTAAATTGCAGGCAACAGCCATAATCAGAAAGCCAGAGGCCACTGCTCCAACCCTGGGGTCCTTCAAAGTTAATTGCAAGGCAAATACTAGGCAAAGATCTCTCCAGATCCTCAGATGTCTGCTTCTTGCTCATGGAGTTGAAAGAATGAAATGAAAGGGCGTGGGCACAATCCCTAGCTTGGTGCTAGCACAGAAGCTCAATAAGGTCCACAATCCGTCATCTACAGTCCCAAATCCCAGAGTTCTGAACACTGAAATATTTTTTGTAAATCTTTTGGCATCCAAACCTGGCCAGACAGAAGGCTATTTCTAGGCCTGGGTATGAGCGAAATATATCCCTCTCTAGAAGTATAAATGTGTTTGATTATCAGACGGTCCTCCAAGTCTTAAGGAGGTCTGACATTATCTACAGTATATGCACCCCAATAAATTCCTAAAAGTCCAAACATCTGAGTCTCTAAACACCTGGCTTGAAAGGCTTCCAGCTGAGAGTTTGTGGATCCATCCTTGGTAGCTCTTTTCTCCTTCCGTTTTTGCTGGTCGAGGTCCCTCTCCTTCCTCCCTGGCCATCATTAGTCTATCTGAAATAAAAGCTACACTTGGTCAGACATCCTCTTGTGTCAGCACCTGTTAGGCACCTTATCACATAATTTTTGGAAAGCCTGTGATGACCCTGGAAGGGATTGGTAATGAGCCTCATTTTAAAGACAAGGAACCTGAGATGGAGAGAACTTAGTGAAGGTCAAGAGCTCCCACACACAGAACTAGGGTTGCACCCCAGTCTCTGGCTGCTCAGCCTCTGCTCCTTCTACCACAGCAGGCTGGAATTTACTCGAAGAAACACTGTTTCTTAAGGAACACTTAAAATTCAACCAAGACATTCTCCCTGTGTACTCAGAGGCAGTAAAGTGTAGTGCCATCGTTCTCAAAGTATGATCCCAGGATGCCTGGATGTCCCTAAGACCCTTTCAGGGGCTTTGCAAAGCCGAAGCAATTTTTATACTAATAATTATATGTTATTTGCCCGTTTCACCTTTGTTCTCCTATCAGAGGACAGTGAAGTTTCCAGGGTTGGCATGACATGTATTATACAACAAATTGAATGCAGAAGCAGATATGAAAATCCGGTTGTTTTCTGTTAAGCTAGATATTAAAGAAATTTGCAAAAATGTTAAAAAAAAAAAAAAACCCTACTCATCTCACTATAGTTTTTTTTTAAGGAAATATCATTGTTTTTTATACAAATATATTAAGGTTAGCATGCAATAGTTTTATTACTTTTAAATGAGTTAAACCTTTTCTAATTTTCTCTATCTTAATTTCTAATACCATATATATCAATAAATGCAACCAACAAAAACGAAGCTCATCACAGTCCTCAGTATTTTAAAGAGTGTGAAAGGGATCTGAGACCCAAAAATGTAAGAACTGCTAGTGCAGTGTTGAGTGCAGACCTAGAATCCTAACTACCTGGATTCATACCCCAATTTTGCTTAGTAACTATGGAAGTTTCTTTATGCCTTAGTTTCCCCACTTACGAAATGGGGATAATATATTATTTACCTCCTAGAAGTTGTGGTGAAGACTTAATGAGTTTGCACGTGTAAATCACATATAATATCCATCACTTAATAAGTTATTTGTTTTAGATTTTATGTTACTGAATTGTTACATACTCTATATATTTGTGTTTATTTCTAGGGAAAATCCCCCCAACATTCAAGATGAAAAAAGAATAAATTACTGAATTATCCAAATAGGTTTCATTTACTTGAATTAGAAAAAGAAAAAAAAAAGTCTTGAAACTGGAGTCACGTTTCAAGCATAAATGTTAAAATAGTTTCCATTTACTCTATTTACTGTCAATTTAATATTCTCATTCTCTGGCACTAAGCGTTACAAAAATCTTTTTAGAAAAGCTAAAATCTCTCACCTTTATAAGTAGTCTCATTTTCCACATTGGCAGATGCTGTTTAGAAAATGAGTAAACTAGGGTAGGGCAACATGTCTGAGACACGTTATCCCAAGTGAGAATGGTATATGAGATTGGAATATCAAATGTGGTGATTAATAATAAAACAGAATGCTTTCAATTCACAACTTAGAAGTCTTATTCAACAAAATTTAAAATGTAGGTTTTTTTTAAGAAGCACAGATTCTTAAATAAATGTATTCTTGAATATAGTTTTAATGCTTTTAATATAGGTTTAGGTATATGCTAAATATAGATTCATTCTTTTCCTCTAAAGAAATGCATTATGCTTACTCAGTAAATAACAGTTTATACCAAAGAATTTTTTAAGGAGTTGAAAACGGTTTGATTTTGCAGAGTAGCACAGTGGCTAGCACACACACTTAGAGAAATATGTTTCTACCTTACTCTGTCAATTATTAATGCATACCATGGCTGAGTTTCTTTATGCCCAGATTCTGCTGTGTAACCACGATAGGAGGGAAATGACCGAGGTCAGTTCAAATATGTCATGAAAGTCTAAAATTCTGACTCCTGAAGCCTCTCATGTTCCAGCACTGACAACAGAAAGCACAGTAATTAAGAGCAGTGTGACCTTGGGCTGTTATGCCCAGTATTCCTGAGCTGTAAAGCGGAAATAATAATTGTATCTACTTCTTAGGTGGGCTGTGATGATTAAATAAGGTACGATAATGTATGTAAAGTCCTTGCCCTTAAAACAACATTGACAGGAAAGCTCCACCACAAGGTGTTTAAGTGGAATCCAAGATTCAACCGTGTAACGTACGTGATGGTGTAACAGTGAGGTGTTCCAGGTGCTATTGCTGTGCAAACTTAGTGTTGTAAAACTATTTCATTATGCTCATGGACTCTATGGGTCAAGAATTTTGGAAGGCCTCATCTAGATAGTTCTTGCTCGGGTCTGTTCCAGGATTGCTGTGAGATGTTGGTGGGGGCAGCAGTCATCCGAAGGCTCAACTGGGCTGGACATGCAAGATGGTGCCCTCAGATGCTGGCAGCTGGTGCTAGATGTTGACTGAGACTTTAGCTGGGACATCAAACAGACAGCCTACAAGTGATCTCTCCATGTGGCCTGGGATCCCAAATAGCATGACTCCCTGGCGTCATCAGATTTCTTACACTGGTCGAGAGTCCAAGGAAGCCAACTGGGAGCTGAACTGTATTTCTGCTGCATTTAATTGGATATGAACAAGTAATAAAGACCAGCCCAACATCAAGGCGAGATAGACTCCACTTCTCCAGGGAAGGAATGTCAAAGAATTAGCTGGCATGTTGTGAAGCTGCCATATGAGGTGAAGGAAAAATATTATTTTTCTGTCTGTATAGTCTCCAAAAGAAATTAATAAAAGGGACAATATTGAAAATATTGACCTGAGAAAGTCCTGAATGATCATGAAGGAAGCACTTCCTAACTGTCCCCAAACCCAACCCTGTATAAGAATTTGGCTTACTTCTATCCAGGCATGGTGGCTCGTGCCTGTAATCCCAACACTCTGAAGCAGGTTCACCTGAGATCAGGAGTTCGAGACCAGCCTGGCCAACATGGTGAAACCCTGTCTCCACTAAAAATACAAAAATTAGCCGGGCATGGTGGTGTGCGCCTGCAATCCCAGCTACTTGGGAGGCTGAAGCAGGATAATCACTTCAACCCAGGAGGCAGAGGTTGCAATGAGCCAAGATTGTGCCACTGTACTCCAGCCTAGGCAACAGAGTGAGACTCCATCTAAAACAAAACAAAACAAAACAAAAAATTTAGCCCACTTCAGACTGAGAACAGGGGCAAAGGGAAGATAAGAAACAGCAATTGCCAATTCCAGCTAAATTTGAATTATGCCAGATCATATTAGCATTATCATGAATTTTTACTCTTTATCAGATGATAAGCTAGGTTACTGTAACTAAAACATCACAACACAATGGCTTCAATTTACTTCACTAACAGTCCAGCCAGTTCCGGTTGGCAGAGCACCTCTGCTCCCTAATGTCCTTACTATTGCTCTGCCATTTTCCCTGAAGTACAGTCCTTATCTGCATGGGTAACGCTGGTGCACCTCACTTCCAGCTCGGGAGAGGAAAAACAGGCAGCAAGTAGAAAAGCCGCTTATCTCAGAGTTGTGAGGATCTGTAGTCAAGTTCCATCCATTGCCTCTGTGCACAACCACTGGTCCAAACTTAGTCACATGACCACGCCTTGCTGGAGGTGGGGCTGGGAAACATAGTTGCTGCCTGATAAGCCACATGCGTGAGGAGAGAACAGATTAGGAGAACAAGTGTGCCTCACAAACAATAAATAAATAAGTATTCTAAAATTTTAACTGTTTGCAGCATTAACAAGCTAATCAAATCTTCTTAATCTCCATCAATTTCAGTATCATAAATAACTAATATGCCAATTGCAAAAGAATCTGAATTAAATGACATGTATTCTTCAACGCTCTTACAAATTTCTCTAGGACTGCCAGCAATTCTCTTGCAAAAATGACTGCACATTGAAAGTTGGTAACACAGCTCTTACCTGTACTCCCATATATGAATTATTGTGAATTCCAAATTAATAATGTTCAATGAGATCTTAACAGAGTTTGGAAATGATAATCAAGGTGAAGGAAAACAGCTTAACAATGAAGACTCCACAAATAACCAAAACTGGGGCAAAATTTGATCACCTTCTAGGGAAGAAAAGGTGATCTTTTCTTTCATGTATTAATGTAAATGTAAGATTGTATGTATTTTTGGATTTAAAATGAGATTTTTGCACAGCTGCTGTAAATCTAATGGACTTGAGTACATTTTTATAGCCCCACCTTCTCCCCAAGTGTACTCCTTAGGCTGGGAGGACGCTGAGGACACTGCACAGGTATGCTGCAATATTAAGAATGCAGGACACTTTGGGAGGCTGAGGTGGGCAGATCACTTGAGGTCAGGAATTTAAGACCAGCCTGGCCAACACGGCAAAACCCTGTCTCTACTAAAAACACAAAAATTAGCCGGGCGTGGTGGCACATGCCTGTAGTCCCAGCTAATCAGGAGGCTGGGGCAGGAGAATCGCTTGAACCCAGAAGGTGGAGGTTGCAGTGAGCTGAGATTGTGCCACTGCACTCCAGCCTGGGTGACAGTGCGAGATTGTCTCAAAAAAAAAAAAAAAAAAAAAAAAAGCAGAACAGGAAATCGTCATCTCTGGCTTCCTTTTTTGTCTCCTTAAAAAAGTTACTGAACTACTCTGAGTCTATTTCCTCATCTGTAAAATAGGAATACTATCTATACCCCACAGTGGAGAATCATAAAACGGTACTTTATACTCAGTAAAACACAAATGCCTACTACACAAAGCAGAAAGATTAAATCGACACTGTCCAGTCTGTAGACGGCCAGCAAAGCAGCTAGGGGTTTCTATAACATGCATGGAAAGGGACAAGATTATATTCTCTCACTTTACGTTCTCTCACTTTTGATCCCAGTCTTGATGTCTCAAGCTAAAGACTGACAAACACTTGCCGGCACCATCAGGTCCTGCGATGCCTCCCAGGAGGAAAGGCTCCACACAAGTTGCTGGCAGCCACCTGCAGCAGCCAGCGCTGGCTTGGTACTCGCGAAGAACCTTTTTTGTTTTTGTTTTTGAGACGGAGTCTTGCTCTGTCGCCCGGGCTGGAGTGCAGTGGCGCGATCTCAGCTCACTGCAAGCTCCGCCTCCCGGGTTCACGCCATTCTCCTGCCTCAGCCTCCCAAGTAGCTGGGACTACAGGCGCCCGCCACCTCGCCCGGCTACTTTTCTGTATTTTTGGTGGAGACGGGGTTTCACCGTGTTAGCCAGGATGGTCTCGATCTCCTGACCTCGTGATCCGCCCGCCTCGGCCTCCCAAAATGCTGGGATTACAGGCGTGAGACACCGCGCCGGCGGAAGAACATTTAACATGACGACTCTGGCACCCACTGTAAGTTTAGATAACTGTTTCAAGCACAATAGGTGCTGTGGCAGGACGCCCGGTGTATGTCAATACAGATTCGATTCTTTTCATCAAAAGGAAATGTGGAGAATAAAAATTTGAAGAAATAATGATGTCACGCCTGTATCAAACATCTCAAGTACCCCATAAACATACACCTCCTGTGCACCCACAAAGATTTTTTTTAAAATTGGAGGAACAAAAGCACTATGTCAATACCACAGTGAGGGGAGAGAAATGTAAGAACAGAAGCATTCCCTAGGCTTTACGCTTGGATCTTTGTTTGGCAGGTTCTGCCCACATACATGTGTTCATTTCTCCAATGTGATAGGCATAAGATACCAGAAAAGGGACATGTAGCTGTGAAAACACCAAAACAGGGAGACCTGAGAGTAAATGAGTATGTGTGAATGGACCAGCAAACCCAAAAAATCCCAATACAGAAAACCGAGTGGGGAACAGGGTGCACCTAGAGAAAGAAAGATAAACACACCCCAAAGGGACGACAAGCAAATAAAATATCAAAGACATCTCCACACTTTCTTGTAGCACCAAGAGGCTCCCCTAAAATAACAAGTCCATTTGTTATGTTTCTTGTCTCGTTCACTTAACTATCAGGAGATAAGGTTTAAATCTCTTTTTGTTTGCTGTGCCCCCCTCCATCCTCCATCCTACAAATAGAACTCTACTCCAGAAAAGCAAATAAATTGAATTTTACAAAATTACAGTGTGGACAGAAATGAGATAATGGATTGTTCCACAAACCCAAAATCAGAACTAAGGTGTCTTCTGAAACCTGGAAGAAGTAGCTAATTAAATAAATGAAGAGGCCGGGTGGTTCACACCTATAATCCCAGCACTTTGGGAGGCTGAGGCATGACAATTGCTTTAGTCCAGGAGTTCAAGACCAGCCTGGGCAACATAGTGACTATCTCCCTGAAGAAAAAAAAAATTAGCCAGGCACGGCGGCACAGACCTGTAGTCCTAGCTACTGGGGAGGTTGAGGCGGGAAGATCATTTTAGCCTGTGGGGTCGAGGCTGCAGTAAGCAGTGATTGTTCCACTGCATCCAATCTGGGCAACAGAGCAAGATCTTATCTCAAAAATGAAATATTTATTTAAATAGAGATAGTATTCGTATTTTACAAGTCAGTAAACATGCTGTTCTCTTTGCCTCCCATGCCCCCACCAGGTAAAGGAGATGACAAATTAAAAGGTGACATAAATGTACACATTTATATACATTCATGTATATACGTGAGGTATGCATTAACAGTGCTGGCTTGTATGGTGATGTGGAGTTGGAGGCAATCAAGGTGTCAGCTCTAGAGAAAGTGGTAAGGACAGTGTGGTAGACACACACTATAGAATACAAGGCAGCAGTCAGAAGCAATGAACTAGATGTTACTAGATGTGGAGTAAAAAAATGTTGAATGAAAAATGAAACTGAGAAGTATAGCACAATATCATGTACATTCGGTTAAGTATAAATTAAAAACATACCACATGCAAAGCACTACACCATTTTCTCAGGCTATAGATTTAAAGATGTGTCAAACACAACAGATTGGGTCCTTGTGTGGGGAGAATGGTAGAAAACAGGATGAAGGAGCAAAATTAATACCAAGGAGTCCTCATTGTTGGATAATAGGGAACCTGGACACTAATGGGATATAATTAATTCAACTCTGCATCCAAAGTTTAAAGAAAAAGACCTATGTCTAGCAAATGAGGTCTGGTTAATACACCGTGAGGGCAACCACATTCTCCTGGCATGCTCAAACCCACTACTCAGAATACTGCACTGACTAAATCTCACCATGCCTTACTCAGTGTGGCGTGTTTGCTCTGTAAAAGAGAACTTTAAACACTAACTCTGTGCCAGGGACTCAATGACTGTCTGGTCCTTTAGCAGATTTCTTTAACCCCAACAACCTGTGAGATAATAAAACCTCCATTTTACAGATTTAAAAAGCCGAGTCACTTTTCCAAGGTCACAAAGATAACTCAAATGGATTTGAACTTCATGTTTAGCTTCATTTTTAATACATTAGTGCCTTCCTCTAAGCCACCTAACCTGAGAATTTCTCCCGAGATTTGACCCTGAGGTAGCCTTTCTAAAATACCTGATCATTTTACCTTTACTTTCGTCCTAGAGTAACTGCACCACTGGAAATGGCATCAGAGTACACAGCAGTCACTCTGTGCATTCACATTTAGAAACAGAAAACCTTTACGGCAAGCTATGGATATGCTTTTTAACTTAGCCTGGATTTAATGCAAGTGCCCAGAGATATTCACTACCTCCTGTGCCACGATACACTCCATAAGCGACATTCAACTTTGCCCCTATATAAGCCTTCAAGCCCCCTTACATAGGTCCCAGTGCCATGATATAGTGAGTTACTTGGAAAGTTAAACTAAGTTTGGGGCACACAAGTCATTCCTGATTCCTCACATTACTCTAACAACCATAAATCATTTAAAGCTGAGGCGATGAAGCAACTGTCAGGCAGCAGTGCAAGTCCCAGGGTCCAGTAGACACAGGACTTACCTTGTGAAAACATAACCTTTCAATACTATTCAAAAATGACATCTGAAAACTCA